GAGGGAAGGGATCTGCCAGCTGGAGCAAAGGGAAGGGGCAAAGTGTGCATGATGCCAGCCAAGGAGGACAGGGGTTCCAGACAGTGCAGAAGATCCCAGTGTGGGATCTAGTTTGACATGACTGCAACCATCTTGGGTACAATCCCATCCTGCCCATCACCTCACAATGGCATATGTTCAAAGCCTATTGCCACTGTCAGCTAAGCAGACAGTCTTGGCTCTGACACCCAGGAATTACTTAACCAACATCTCAGTTTCATAGTTTGCTTTTCTTCTTTTTTGAGAAAGCCCATATATGTTCAATTTGCTTTGGTTTCCTTCTACCCCTGCTTTTTTGAGGCAGGGTCTCAGGTAGCCCAGGTTGTCCTTGAAATCACTATATAGGTAAAGATGACCTTGAAACCCATATCCTTCTACCTCTACCTCTCTACTGCAGGGATTATAGTCATATACCACCATGCCCACTTTATACTGCTTTGGAGGTTGAATTCAGGGCTTTGTATATGCTAGACAGGTACTCCACCAACTCTACATCACCAGCCTGTCTTTGTCTAGCTTAGCATATAAACCCCTACCTCCCATCTCTGGGTTCACAGGTCCCACTATGTCAGAGGAGACTCAGGAAGTTGTTTTTTGTGCCGCAGTCTTGGCTTTTAGCTTCATCTCTAAGCACCTTCCCCCTTTGGAAGCTAGTTCTTGCACACTGCATTTTGCTGAAGTATCCAGCTATTTTGTCTGCATGCACCCTAGTGGTGTGAGTTTACACAAAGCCCTTCACCTCTTGCCTCAGTTTCCTCCTCATTTGTAATTGTAAAAAATCCCTCCTCGTTAGGGATTTTTATGGGTTGGCAGTCAGTGAGTCAAAGAAAACTACCAGTGGATGTGAAGGGGTCCTTTCTGGCTGTGCACTAGGAACCACAGAAGCTACATATTCCAAAATACATGACCACCACTGGACAGGTCAGAGATTGTCATTTCATTGGGAAGAAACCAAACGGAGGACAAGGTTAATGGGTTCTGAGCTCAGTAAGGTACACTGCTAAGACTTGGGAGTTTCTTTGTTGGATGCTGTGCTTTCGGGCATACTAAGGTGATCCCCAATGTTCTTCCAGGTGACCTGTGTCTACCGTTGACACTGAAACAATGTCCCCTCCTCTCTCTTTTGTACCAAGGCAGTCCTGGCAATCTCTTAAGTCCTTCTTTCTTTCCTGTTTGGAAGAACATGTCTACAGCTGCATAGCTCTGGGATTAGTCCAGCAGGACCTAAGACACCCACATTCTTCCTTTATTTCATCCTGGCCCCTTCAGTACAGATGGACAGTGTTTCTGTTGGGGTAGCTGATTAGTGCCTAGGTTCACACACACACTTATCAAGGCCGTTCATATACATACTTATCAAGGCTGTTCACACACACACTTACCAAGGCTGTTCACCACACCCTTGCTGCTCTCTTCCAGATATCCCTTTATTATCATCATTATTAATTTTTTTACAATATTGTCAGGTTATGGCCACATCTTTAAGATATGACTTCCTTTTTTGTTTATTTGTTTGCTTGTTTTTGATATGGTCTCACTATGTAGAGTTGGCCTAGAACTCATAATGTAGACCAGGCTAGCCTTGAAATTCTGAGTCCCAGGATCAAAGGTATGCACCACCACACCCAGCTCAATTCATCACCCCCTCCCTTGGATTTGCTATAAGCAGTCAGGAAGAACCAAGCCCCTTCTTCAACATTTGCTTGGAAATCTCAGCTAAATAACCAACTGCACCACTAGCAACTTCTACCTTCCCACAAAACACTAAAACACAAAGACAACTCGGTCTGGATCTTTACTAAGTAGCATGAATTCTCTCTCCATTGTCCAATAACACTCCTTATTTCTTTGTGCGACCTCACTGGTGTGGTCTGACAAAGCTCCAGCATTTCAACATTGAAGACCACACTTCTCCAGTCCTCTTTTACTTTCATTTTTAATGATTATTAATGTCTTTCCCTTTGGGAAATTTTGTGTGGGCTTCGGTAAAGGGATAAAAATGTGTACAATGGTAGCCTCTCTCCAAACAAAATAATTATTTGGAAAATTCCCCCCCAACCAGAAATTCCATTCCTAATTACACCAAGAACAGGAAGGTTAGAGATTTACTAGATACATCTGATCCCAGGGATGAAATGCCTACAATTCCCATCCACAGCCTGAGGTCATTAAGGGCAAGAGTTCAGTTAATAAATACAGAGAAATCAGAAAGGTACAGTATAATGGGAAAAGAGTAAGACATCAGACCTTCCTTTTTAGGAGAGTTATGATAGTCATTCTTCTTTATCTCTAGCAAGTGGAATGTGCAGCCCTCCATTAAGACATGAGTAGTGCCTATTGTCAAGGTCAGTGTTAGATTCCTCAACTCCTGATCTCAAGCCACACCCCAGCTCACGTGCCCCTTGTCTCTGTTTAAACCTATGTGCAACTATACTGTATAAAAGGTGTAATCTTTTCTCAATTAAAAGCTGCTGTGCTGGAAGCCAACCTGATTCACCCTCAGATCGTTTCCAGTATCCTCCCCGCCCAATCCCCGACTCCTCACATCCTCTTTGGAACCTGACAACCCCCCCCCCCCCAGCAGGTCTCGGGCATCTGCATCTAATTTCCCTTCCAAAACTTCTCCAGCCTCCACCCCGTAACTGGTTCCACAGCTTTAGATGCTTATGACAGTAGCTCCCCACTTCTCAGTACAATCTCTCTAGTTTTGGAGCTGTTCTAAGAGTCTATGGTCTGAATGACTGGAGCAACAGGCATTTATTTTCTCCTCTCAGTTTTGGAGGGTGGGATGTGCAATATCCAAGATGTTTAATACAGTCATATTTTATCTAAAAACTATTTTACACTTATTTATTTGTGTACATATTATTTATGTGGGTGCATGTGTGCCTTGGAGTGCCTTGGAGCACAACCTTATGAGAGCAGTTCTCTCTTTTCACCTTGTGGGTCCCAGGGTCAAACTCTGGTAAAAAGTCTTGCCTGCCCCTCCTGGTTTATTAAATTGTTCCCTGTGTTCTCACCAGAAGAGAGAGTTCTGATCTCTCTTTGATAAAAATGCTAATGTCACCACAGAGGTTTCAACTTCACACCAAGGGCCCTACCTCCAAATAACATCACATCAGAGGTTTCAACCAATGCATTTGGGAGCGTATATTTAGTTCATAACAACACCTTTTTACAGAGAAAAGGCTTCCAAATACAGGAAATCTGTGTGTTTGGTGGCAGGCTTTGTGAATGACACTTCATTCTCTCATTTCTTTTTTAAAAAAATATAGTTGTTTCTTTTTCTTTTTTTGAGCAGTGCTAAGTGCCAAGCACAGGGCCTTGTTTATGATAGAAAAGAGCTCTGCCATTGAGCTTTATCCCAGCCCTGCACTGAGGGATCCAGGGAGCTGGTGAGAAGAGGTCAAGCACACCTCACATCACTAGGGTTGGCCTCCCCCAGGCAGGTACACACCCCCTCATTTGAAAAGAGCAGCTCCTGGCTAGGATGTGCAAACACTAGGGACTGATCAGAGTAGACAGTGCTGGTCCTCCTGAAGCTTAGAGCTGTGCAGGACACAGTCACCAGGTGATACAAACTTTCACCTGTTTGTTCTTCAGGCTTGCATATCTGGAACATTCTGTGTTCTTTCTGTCACACTGTCATGGTGTTTCCTATCCAACTGCTAGGTCCAGGTAAGGGTGGTTTCCTCTGGATAGAGAGTTCTGGTTTCCTAAATCTGAGTTCTTTTTTTTATTATTTAAATTAGAAACAATATTGTTTTACGTGTCAATCTCCGTTCCTTCTCCCTCCCCTCCTCCCCTGCACCCCACTATCACCCTACCTATTCAATACCCTAAATCTGAGTTCTAAGTGTTCCAGAAAGGCAGCACCCACCTCCTCTAAAGGCCACTTCAAAGGAAAAAGTGTTAACCACAGTGTCCCCTGTATCTATTGTGGCCATCTTGCCTCCTGCAGGGAGAAGACAGTGTCTGGACATCACAGATATACGTACCAAGAGCAAGAATGGTGGCTGGAAACTTGTGCTTGAGGCTTGGAAAACGATGGTCATTGTTAAGATTCCCACCTGCGGGCTTAAAGGCTGGTCCCCAGCCTTGGGAGCAACAGCCCCATCCCATTCTCAGTGCTATTCTCCAGGAAAAGGCTCGAGGCTGAGTGTGAGCCCTGGCTTCACTACACACTAAGTAGGTATCCTTCCTGGCCTCAGTTTCAGCACATGGAAAACATAGAGACAAGCGGCCCTGGTTTTATAAGGTTTTTCTGAGGACTAAACCGTTAGGAGGCTTGTAGATCCCAGGATCTGTGAACAAAAGGGCTCCCTACTAGCGGTCTCAACTCCAGTTGCGCCCATCTGGCCCTCTCTAAACCTCTGTTGACTGATCTGTAAGATGGGAATGGGGATAATGATAGTCCTTGAACGAGAAAGTAAAACTGCACTGTAATCAGTCATGTCTATTGGACATGTGCTACATTGCAACTCAGCACTCCAGGGTTTCTAGCGCAGGCTCATCCGTCACCTTCTCTGATCTCACGCTCCAGTGAACCGCGGGACCCCTTTTCCTGAGCCCCAGGCTATCTGGAAGTCATAGCATGTTAAGAAGTCCATAGACTAGAAAACCCATGGAGGGTGTCTACCACCAGGGGCTGGTGTTGAGCGACCTGGGGATTTGCAGTCTGGGTATTTCCAGAAAGAAAATACAAATTTCTGCCCAGGAAGCCAGAGGCCAGCAGCAAGCGAGTTATCTCCAGGCCGGCTTCCTGCCCCAGGGCACCAAGGCAGCCTTAGCTCGGCCTAGGACTCTGTAGCCGCGCCCCGCCAGCCTGGAGGCAGTGAAGTGACCCTGGCCCACATCACCTCGCCCTCCTGGCCGGCACCCGAGGGCTCACCCCTTCCAGGGACGTTATTCCCACCCGCCAAGTCGCTCCCACCTGCGAGGTCTCCGGGTCAGGTACTTACTCTGAAGACAGCGGGCGGCGGTCACCCAGAGCGCGAGCAGCCCCAGCGGGATGCCACGGGTCCTCCTCAGGCACCACGGCGGCCTCATGAACGAGCAGCAGGCTGTACCGGCCCCGCATGGGCCTAGGGGAGGCGGCTGGGCCGACTGCTCGCCCTCGGCGCCCCGGAGATCACCAGCCTGGCCTCCCTAGCCTCCGCTCTGCTGCTCTGCCGCTCTGCACGTCCCAGCTCCTGCAGTTGTTCCAGCGCCAGAGGTAGATGAGCAGGTTGTACTCTGGTTGAACCAGTTCCCAGGAGAGAGGGAAGAAAGGAGGAAGGGAAAAGGGAGGGAGGAGTGAGAGAAGGAAGGACTATGAATATGGAAAGTTATGGGATAATGGGAAGGCACACACTCTGAAGCACTAATGGCAAATAATGAGCAATTTCCTGAGAGTCACACCCACTGTATCAATTCAAGGTTCAATGAAGGGAGGTGGCTCAGAGAGAGGGCTAGTGCTAACTGTTTTCCAAGGACCCAAAGAGACAGTTTGAAGGCTTCATGGGCAAGTGGGAGATTTTTAGTAAAGCCAAGTGAAACCCTGGGGTGTGAGGAGTAAGGGGTGACAGACAGGAGACTCAGGCTGGCTCTGTGTGGAGTATATGGACAGTAATGCCATCCATCCACTCCTCTACCCACCCACCCATCCATCCATCCATGCATGAATGATATTACACAGAACCTGGCACAGGTGGGCATTTTGGTCCCTCACAGGATGGTGGTCGAATGATACCCAGCACTGAGCTACACTAGAGATAGAATCACACTAACTTGGAAAGCCCCTAAAGGTGGCCCACACCTGTAATCCCAGCATTCTGGAAGCCACAGGAATGACTGGGTACTTAAGGAAGCCTAGCAAGAGGTGGGACCTGGAAACAATGATCAACTACTATATAGTCTGCCTGTTCCTGTTAAACCAGGATGCTGCAGGGCTCAGAGCAAGAGCAACTGGCCTCCAATGGGGATGCGCCTGTGTGTGAAGATATGGAAGAGGGGAAACTAATACTGATTCAAGCAAGTTGTGGCATTCTTGTCTACTTTGTCAGAAGTAGATTCCTCACCTCCCTTGCAGCCGGGAAAAAACAGTATGAACAAGTGGCAGTGGTTCTTAAAAGGGAAGTGTGCTTGGTGTCTCTGGAAAAGGTTTTTGCTTTCCTGGTAAAAGCGTTAAGAAAGGCAGTGGGTTGAATGGGTTGAAGTGTTCTTTCCTGAAAGGAGGAGGCAGCAGCTCACAAAGCATAAGCAACTTTCAAGACTCACGGTGCCAGGGCACGTACAAAACTCTTAGATTAGCAGTAGTAATTGCCAGGGAGAGGAGATTCTTGCATGGAGCTGCAAGCAAGTTGTTAAGGGGACGTCAGTGATGCAGCTGGGATGGACTTTCCTGTAATCCAGCTGCTTGAGTCACTCATGTTCCAGACCCTTGCTACTTTAAGTAACTTCAATGAACTCATTGGCTCCTAAACCTTGCTAATGTAAGTGACTTTAATGAACTCAATGGTTCACCAACCAGGACTTGGAAATCTTTCTTTTGGTCTGTGGTAGATATAAGTGGTCTCTCCAGGAAAAAAAAAAAAAAAAAAAACAACTCACATCCCCTGCCTTGAAGACATTCCTTTGTCCTAGATCTGTGGCCTCTGTCATACTTCATGAAGTTTCAAGTGAAGACAAACCTCTCTAAGTAAGGATTGAGAAACAGAAAGACAGGAAGTGCCCAGGAGATGTGGCATGTAGCACCCTCCTGTGTCCTTCTTGCCCTTAGGAGGTTCCTTGCTAATTCCACATCATGTTAATTATTTTTCTCATTGCTGTGACAAAGCACTGTAAGAGAAAAGGTTGAGTTTGGCTCACAGTTCCAAGGTACAGTCCACTGTGGCAGGGAGCCATGGTAGCAAGAACCTGAGGAGGCAGCCACCACACTGCATCTGCCATCAAGACTGAGAGAGGGACAAATGCTAGACTTTAGCTCACTTTCTCCTTTTTATTCAGACCAGGATCCTGGGCCCTAGGATAGTGTCACTCAAAGTTAAGGTGGGTCTTCCGGTCCCTAATAACTGAATCCAGATAATCACTTACAGGTGTGCCAAATGGCTTCTTTCCTAGGTGATTCTAGAACCATTATGTTGGCAATTTTAACCATCACACACATGTTCCTTATGAGAGTAACAGTAGTGGTACCCTGTGAACTACAGTCACGAAGGGATGTGACCAGGCCAGCCACTCAGTGTCCTCTCCACCAGAAAAGTGTTGGCTCATGGATAGAAAGAGTGACATGTGGCCATTTCTGGGATTGCTAAAGCTCAGGACATGAATGTGTAGATTGTACCATGTGCTGTTGTACCCAAATTCTGAACCCCAAAATCACCCATTCCAAGCTAATTGCATTAACTCGGTTCTTCCATCTGTCCAACATAGTGGGTAGAGTGAGAAGGACCAGAAGGGGCCAAAAGGCAGGGAATTTATTGGGGAGGGCAAGGGGAGTGTAGAGGGATATGTGACAGTCTCAGGATTAGTCCTCTTTTACTGTAAAGCATGTCCAGAGCCCGCCTGCTAACTTCTGATTGGTTCCTTGCCACATGGAGGATATCTGGCTTCCTAGTGACTAAGGCAGGTCTGGCAAGGTCAGATGGCTGGAAACTCAGCAACATGTGCTGAGTCAGAGGCTTATATCTTTCTGAGTCTTTTCTGCAGCCTGTCATGGCTGCTAAAGCAGGGGGCTGTGTGAGGGTCTGGTCCCTTCAATCTGTCACATCAGAGGTCCTGGACTAAGAATGAAGCCAAGTCAATCATGGTGACTCACACTTGTAATCTCAGCTGTCAAGAAACTGAGACAAAAGGATTTCAAATTTAAGGCCAGTCTTGGCTACTTAACAAGATCCTCTTTGAAAAATAATTACTAAGCCATGTGGTGAAGGCAGCACAAGCCTTTAATCCCAGCACTCAGGAGGCAGAAGCAGGAGGATCTCTGTGAGTTTGAGGCCAGCCTGAACTACAGAGTGAGTTCCAGGACAGCCAGGGCCACACAGAAAAAACATGTCTTCAAAAACTAAACCAAACCAAACAAAAATAACTAAGTAAAAATATTTTACAAGTGAAAAGAATGAAGCTAAGATGAAACCAGGCTGGGAACCTGGGAGAGATGGAGATACAGTGTGTGTTCTGGGGTTTGATGCTCAGTTTTACCAGGAGGTAGCAGATAAATGTTTTTTTTTGTTGTTGTTGTTCTTGTGGGGGGTTTTGTTGTTGTTGCTTTTCTTCTCTCTTTTTTTCTTTTTCTTTTCTTTCTTTCTTTTTTTCCTTTGGTTTTCTGCTTGAGCTGGATTTCTGTGATATAAAACTATGTTGGTTGAAAGATATGACATTATACTATGTTAGGAGGAATAAGTTACAGAGACCTATGCATTGCATAGTACAGTGATGGAGTGTTGTGTTGAGGGAGTGCTGAGTGGATGAATGCTCTCCTTGAAGGAACCGGCTTCCCTTTTGGCAGCCATAACGGTCGAACATGTGCTTCTATGACCTTGCCCTAGACACTAGAAAGTCAGATTCCCGCCTCGTGACAAGGAACCAATCAGAAGTTAGCTGGTGGCGCTATGCTTTACGACCCTGGGTGTGCTTTACGGACAAGCGCACAGCAATGACGTAGAGAGCATAGCAACCAACCTGGGAGGGCCTATGGGCCATAGCAACCAGTTGACCAATCAACACAGGGCAAGCCCTCCAAGCCTGGAGGCACACCAATCGTGAGCCTGCGCGTACCCCTAGACACTCCCCTTACGCTGCCCTATAAAGATCTGTACGCAGCGGCTTCAAACCGTCTTTTCTAGCTATCCGCCATGGCGGGTGGATGAAAGACCCGAGCTAATATGGGGTTAGCTCGTT